GTGTGTCACAAAATCTCTCTCAAAGATCTCAAGTTATAAAAGTAAGTAACTTTTCTTTCCTGTTGGAGTGCTTGTTTCTGTGTTCTACTTCTGCTGACTCCCAAGCAATATGTAATGGACAGATTCTAGTACCCTCCTCTAATGAAACAGACTGCAACATAGACCTCAAATTGTGCATCTGAACAAGATGCCTGAATTAAAAAGCAAAGACTAGGAAAAGTATTTAAAATACTCCAAGTAGAAACCCTATTTAAAATAAGCTGTGGGTATTCCCCTAAAAGAGGCCCCAAAAGCGATCTGTGGTTTTGTAGAATACAAGTTAGCTGAGTTCTAAATTGGCCAACTCATAGTCACACCCAATTAGAGATTATCTGAGTTGAGGAACCCTTGGATCTCATGACAATAGAGACAGACTATGGGAATGCCTGAATAGTCTTGACATAGTTAAATAAAAAGAGAAAGCACAGCGGATTTCCAAAATCTGAAACATAGCTTTGCCCATGGATGAATGAGGCTGGAGAGACAGCCAAGGGGAGGGGAAAGACAGACACCTGAATTAATGGAGTGATTTAAATGAAAATCAAGGGATTATTCTAAGTAGAAATGTAGAGTGTGACTAACGTGTAACTTTATCCCTGTGAAAAGTCACATACTGCGATCCTGCCATATCAGGATGCTGACATTTAAATTGTATAAGACACCTTACCTGCTTTCTTTGTGTGGGAAGTTAATTCAGGAGTTGAGAGATACAGAATGGTTTAAACCTAGGCAGGACTATCATATTCCCAACTCCCTTGCTGCCAACTCCCTTGCTAGCTACCCAAGTTTAACCCCTTAGTCATCAGGTGCTGGCAGCACTCCTCCTAACCATTACATGAGCCTTGGGTTGGCCAGCTCCCAGGGTGAGAACGGGTAGGTTTACTAGGCCCAGTCACAAGGAGAAAGTCTTCTGTAGTCTGGGCTGCAGCAGTGAGTCAGGGTTATGCCGTCAAACCCAGGAAGTAATTGGTGTCAGCAAAATCTCCAGGTATTGCTCCAGAACTATGGAGCCCATGATCTCCGAAGGCAGTGCAGACCCTGGGTCATAGCCCCTGAGAGGCCCTGTTCTTGAAGTGTTGAGCCATCACTCAGGATTGAGCTCAGGTAGGAAAAAGTTCTGACCGAAACCAGTGTCAATACATCTTGGGACATACTTCCAGGCATTAAGGATAGCAGCTTTTATTGTCCCATAGTCAGCTGTGGCTCTATCATCCAGAGCTCAGTATGCTGCTTGAGCTTCTCCAGAGAGGAACAGGCAGCCCAGGTGGTTCTCTCCCAGCCATCCATCCTGGGTACATACTCAAAGGTGACAAATTAGGCCTCTGGATCATCGTGCAGCCCAAACTTGACCAGAGGTATTCCAAGTCCTGAGTTTCCCGGATTAGCTGGAACTGGGACCGACAGTCACTGGAGTACTGCTTCACAAAACTGTTTTATCTGCTGTTGGAGCTGAAGCACCTCCAGGAGTATGTTCTGATGTTGCTGGGCAGCATGCTGTGCTTCTAACAGGGTCCTCTTTGCCTCAGCAGCACTATGCTGCTGATGGGCCAGCAGCCTCACCAACTCCTCCATTACCCCTTAGATACAGGGGTGGCTCGAGGCCCCTCTTCAGGTACCAATGTAAATGGTTCATGCTCCTGTGAGTGCCCCTTTGTGGCCGAGGGCTCATCTGAAATTTTTGGCCAGCTATTCCCTGGGAGAAGATTGTGACCTAGGGCAAGGGACTGGGGTGGAGAAGGGGGTTCATGGGTTTGAAGTGTGACCTAGGGCAGCTGGGCTCGAGCTTCAAAAAGAGTCACATATGGCTCCCTAGTAAGCCATATTTGGCTCGTGAGTCACAGGCTGCCAACCCCCGCTTTAAAAGGGCAGAAAACTAAAAACACTATACTAAATAACTAGTCTAAATAACTGTTTACACAGCCTTAATAAAATAGGCAACTGGTAAAAGGAGTGGGGTTGCTGCTATTTGGATCCATCTCATAGCCAGGAGCGGTTAAAAGGAACATGTCAGTTAGCTGTTCTATCCACTTTCTATCTTTGGAGAGAGGGGCTCAAGGTCATCAAAGGAACAGGTAAGACCAAAAGATATGGCTGACTAAAGCATTACCATCTCCAGCACATGCAAATCAGAAGTGGAACATATGTAAGTGAGCACACAAAGAAGACTATCTTTCAAGCAGATTGAAGACTTTAACGTATATGATAAATCTCCTGTTTTCAATTTTAAAAGTTTTGTTTTTCCTGTCTGAAACCTTGTATCTTCCTTCTCAGAGCTAGTATTTCTTTTTTGCATCTGAGGACACAATTTGACACTACTAATGGGAAACTTGTTAAAACAGTACTAAACATAAGACGTATATATTCATAGTTGATTAAAGCTAGCAATTCAAGCTCATCCTTGAGTTATCCAATCAATATAAACACTTAGAAATAATTATATATAAGTTCTAATTCAGAAAGTACTTACCAAGATGGCATGGCCATATTCATGTTTAGAGACACTGGCATTATTGGCCTATAAGGTGAGAAATAATTTGATACAATTTAATACATAAATCGGTAGACATAAGAATACATAACAGATAACTATTTCTATATTTCTGCAAGATTACAGGTTAAGTTGTCAATATACATGTTTCCTATAGTTTCATCCCATTTTTAAGGCATGTCCAGATCTACTTTCTCATTTTTTAAACTGAAGTTAAACATGAGTGAGATCCATTTTGTTTTTTTGCAAAACTACATCAGGTTCTGAGGCAGCAGATAAAAATGACTGGCACAGAGAGTTCTGCAAGAACAGAATGAAAATCCGAAGACTTCCAAAAGAAGGTAAAATGTACAGACAATAGAAGGATATCCTAATGAGTGGTACAGATAACACAAATTGTCTACTTTTATTTACACACTTTCATGAAAAGAATGGGCACACAGATCAGATATTTAGCAGCAAAAATCTCGAAGAATCACGGTTAACTAGCACAACTAATTATTCTTCAAATGACATCTGCTCATTCCGACTTTATGGAACTTTATCTAACAGCAAGAACCCCCCAGAAAAGCAATGTAAGAGTTTTAATTGAGCAGATCTCCCAAAGCAAACATCAGATACAAATTTGAGAGCTGTAATGTAAAAATGTATGCACAGAAATCAAGATAGTAGTCTACTAATAGTTTATTATGGAAACAATATGGAGGCACATCATTGATACTTTTATCCTAACAACATAAAGCTTAAGACCCTGAGGCACTCTCAACCCAGCCAAGTCGTAACAGGTATCATTGCACAACTGTTCCATTTCAGGCACTGAAAAGTGAAAATGGCATTTTCTTTATACTGATTTCTAACTGCTATAAGAAGACTTGCTGACTTCCTAAAGTCTTCACTTCTAGCTATATTAAAATACCCTCAAACCCTCTTTACATGTAGATATGGAGCCTTGTTCTCTCCAGAAAATAATGAAGTTTTGGAAAAAAACTATGCCATTGTCCAATTCACAGAGAAATCTCCACTTTTTCTAGCCACCTGAAGTGAATTTGCAAAAAGCCCATCTCAAAAAAATATGATGAAAATAGGATCAATTGTTAAAACGTGTGCAACTCTGCTCACAGATGTAGTCATGCTGTTGTCAGTAAAAAGGAGAGTCCCCTTGTAAGGGCTGAAATGAGTCCATCAGCCTTGTCAATAACAATAACAATTCTGTAAGATTCCAACACAGAATTGGTTCTCTGACCCACAGGAAGAAATGAAGGTATCTGAAAGATCTGGGCTTCAATAATCCAACATCTGGGAGACAAACTGAGAAGGAAGATAGATTCACCTACTTGAACACAAACTGATGGCCCTCCTACAAGCAAGAACTTCAGCAATACCAGGGGAGCATCTGCAAAAGTCTATTCCAAGACTATAAACTTTTTTAGTGCCAAGAAATTCTTCAGCCTCAATAGGTCCATAGATGCTTGATTAGTACCAGGTTTCTTAAACACCTAGCAATCTTCAGCTGTTGAACAAAGACATAGGCTCAAGAGTTCCTTAGAAGCCAAAATCAGCACAGGCACTCATGAAATTCTAGCACCAAAAAACTCAATTCTTAGACTTAATGGAATCTTACTGCTGAATGCAATCTTACTACTGAAAAGTATAAGCAAACCACACCTGGCAGCGTACTTTTTTCTAGTAAAAGGGCAGATGGCCAATCATAGGTCAGATCCAAAGTGTGAACTCACAGGGTCTCATCAGCAAAGGCCTATAGCCCCTGCTGCCTATTGGTGCAGGAATGATGTGCAAGAGTCCTACTTACGAAGAGCAGTCTGAGGAATTGGCTTTCCCAGTCTAAGAGTTGATGTTTATATCCCGCCTCTCTTTACACTGAGAAGTAGGAATGTGAGATAGCAGGTAATAGAACAGTTGGCTAACCACATGAATTCTCAGCGGTTAGTCGACTATTCTATAGTTCCCAGGGGCGGGGCCAACTGCCAGTGTGCTCTGGCCCCACTATCACAGAGCCCGCGGTGCTGCCTACCAGAGGCAGCAGGGTAGGTTGCCAAGCAGGAGCAGATCTGAGAGAGGAGCCAGTTTAAAAACCAGCTCCCCTTGTGGACCAGCTGCCTGCCATCCTGTGTTGCTGCCTCGGATACAGAGGCAGCAGCACAGGTTGGCAGCAGCCTTTGTCTGTAGGAGGTCCGAGCTCCCCATGGACAAAGACTGCTGGGGGGCAGGGAGCAGGGGGGGAAGGAAGGGTGTGGGAGGCTGCCATGAAGGAGCCTCTGGCTGCAGACAGAAGCTTCTGCAGTGGCAGCAGCACCCGTCCGTGAGGGATCCAAGCTCCCGGCAGACAGAGGCTGCTCCAGCTTCTGTCTGCCAGGAGCTTGGACCCTCGTGGACAGGTGCTGCTGGGAACCAGCCTCTGTGCTCGGGGAGCTCAGACCCCCTTCCCCCCCACAAGTAGGGGCTGCTGCCACAAAGCAGTCTCTGCCCATGGTGAGTCAGGGCCTGCTGCAGGCAGAAGCTACTTTGTAGCAGCCTCCCCTTTCCCCCCACCACCCATGCTGCTGATCCAGGGGCAGAAGCACAGGGTGGCAGGGAACTTTCCTGGAGTGGAACCGGATTGCACTGGCTGCCGGCCCTGCTCCTGGGGACTACAGAGTAGTCAAGTAAGAATTCATGCGGTTACTTGACTATTCAACTACCCGATAGCTAACATCCCTAATAGAAGCCAGTTGCTGAACTCCACAACTGAGTTCACCCTTTCCCCAACCAACCATGCTACAGATCTCCCAACACTACTGGCTACTTAATGCAACCTCTCCACTATTTTCACCCTAATGAGGCAACATATTCTTCTTCCTAAAAAGAAGAACAGTTGAGTTGTAGTATGGAGACAAACAATCTGGGTTTCTCTTAAAATAGACCAAGATTGATTTTTACTCACCCTGATGTTAAATGTTAAAGAGATGCCAGACTTTACAGAACACAGCAGTAATCCAGTTTGAAAACCCTTATACTAACTGCATGAATAACCAACAGTGTGCAATTTATAGGATAAAAAATGCATACAATTCAAAGATATGTAAAGATCCATTCTTAAAAATAGCATCTTACAAATATTCATGCTGAGTACAACTTGGCCATTTGAAAGCTTTCAGAAAGACACTTACACAAATTGTCAAATTGAAGTTCCTAAGTAAATAGTAAAAAAGGAAAGAAAAAGAAAAAGAAGTTATATACTTACGCATGCGGACAAATATATTTTACATGTGGACTTCTGATACCTGCAAATGCATCTGCCCAGCCATGTCTGTTGGAGAAAAGTATATGAAAAGGCATTCTCATGTGCTAGTTCAACTCTGTTAACTTTAATAGTTAAGCATTCTTTCCATAACAATGCTGTAAGGAGAGTATCAGGGGATACTTTTACATGTGACATTTTAAAAAGATCATTTAAAATACAATGCATTACCAATGTTAAAACAGAAGTCCTTCCTTTGCAACCGGTAGCAAATGCATCTAAAAAAATTGTTTCTCCTACTAACTGTATGTGCCCTCTCTTTAAGAAAGCATCTGCTATAAGCCTGTCAACGACTAATACAGTAAATGTATCCAAAAATACATAGACAAGGCCACAATTTCAATTGTTTTCAAACTTTTTTTTGAATATTGCTATAAAAGTGTACATTGCATCAAAACGTCAAAAAACATTCATAAAAACTGTGGTTCCTTAGGATGTTTTGTGCATGTAGCTCTTACTCATGTGGCTGCATCTCTTCCGGAACAGTTCTGAACTTTAAAAGCAGTGTCAAAACAGTAGTTGCATATATGCCGCTCATGTCCTCGCACCCTCTCTCCTGAAGACATAAAGGGCACTATGACTTCAGTCACCACCATCCCTCTCAGGTCTTTTTCATCACCCAGGCTGTGTCTACATTAGCATCCCTTTTCCGGAAAGTGCCAATGAGGCGAGTCGGAATTGTAAATGCCGCGGGGGATTTAAATATGCTCCGCGGCATTTGCGTGAACATGGCTGCCGCTTTTTTCCGGCTCGGGGCTTTGCCTTTTCCTGATTTTAAGAGGAATAAGGGATCTTCCGGAAAAGGCTTTATTTTCCGAAAGATCCCGTCTAGACTGGTGCTTTTCTCCGGCAAAGCCCCAAGCCGGAAAAAAGCGGCAGCCATGTTCATGCAAATGCCGCGGGGGATTTAAAAATCCCCCGCGGCCTTTGCAATTCCGACTTGTCTCATTAGCATCCCTTTTCCAGAAAAGGGTGCCAATGTAGACACAGCCCCAGAATCTGAAAAGGTGTCTCAGCTGAAAGGCTGGAGGATGACAGAGGGATTCACATGCACATAACATCTAAAAGAACCCAAGTATCAGAGGGGTAGCCATGTTAGTCTGAATCTGCAAAAGCAGTGAGGAGTCCTGTGGCACCTTATAGACTAACTGAAGTGTAGGAGCATAAGCTTTCGTGGGCAAAGACCCACTTCATCAGATGCATGTATACATTCATATATGCATCTGACGAAGTTAGTCTTTGCCCACGAAAGCTTATGTTCCTACACTTCAGTTAGTCTATAAGGTGCCACAGGACTCCTCACTGCTTTTAAAAGAACCCAAGTTATTATTTGCCAAGTAACAATTCTTTAGTTCCTGTGTGAGTGGCGTCCACTTGTGGTTCTTAACAGCAATTCAGTGATCAAGGGCGTAGGGGCTAGAAGTTCAGCTCTATAAATTGTAGGACTCATCTTCTCCTTGTCTCTTCACTCTGGAAAATGATACCAGAAGTAATGACTGCTGCTCTGCAGTTTTCTGCAACTGGCATACTACTGAAGCACCCTGGCATACTACTGAAGCACCCTGCCTCAGGCAATTGTGCTCTGAGCAGTTACTGGAGCTGGATATTGTAGTTCATTAACCAGCTAAGAAATGTTTACAGTTTCTGCAAACCATTTAGACAGTTTCTGCACAAAGGTTGATTTTACCTCTGAAGCAATGCTACAGGTAATAAAGAGCTTAGAGGATGTCCTAAATGGGTCTTGTTCTGTTAAGACAGTATAAGAGACCCTTTCTAACATCCAGCATATGTAACTTCTATTAATAAAGAGACTGAAGAGCACTTGGGGAGGGGGGGGGAAGAGAGACAGAAACACACACACACACACACAAGTATATACAGGCAGTCCCCGGGTTATGTACAAGATAGGGACTGTAGGTTTGTTCTTAAGTTGAATCTATATGTAAGTCGGAACTGGCGTCAGCCGCTGCCGCAGCCGCTGATCAGTTTCAACAGAGGCTGAATTTGGACGCCTGGGACAGAACAGCTGGAGCACTGCCAGGTAGGTCTCTGCAGCGCCGCACCTCAGTGCTGTGGGGACCAACCCGGCAGCACCCCAGCTGCTCTACCCCAGGTGTCCCCAAGTCAGCCACTGCTGAAACTGATCAGCGGCTGAATCCAGGAAGCCCGGGGCAGAGCAACCCGGGGCAGAGCAGCTTTGCTCCGCGTCTCCCTGGTCTGCTGGGGGGGGGGGAGCAGCTTTTCTCGCCCCGGAGGACGGGGGCAGCAGACCGCGGCGCATCTGGGTGTCCCGCAGCTCCCGTCCTCCGAGGCGAGAAAAGTCCCGTTCGTAACTTGGGGACTGCCTGTATATTGGTTAATATAAACATCCAAAGCAACACTCGGAATGCAGTAAGTGTACAACCATACCCAAAATGTATCTGCATGGAAAACTGAATATGGACAGTTAGATGTTAATATTTGACTCGAAAACCCACTAATTAACAAATAGCGGAAAAAGCAAGATGAATGAAGTTCAGATGGAAGTTCCATCAATTAAGAGAACTAAATGCAAATTCCACGACAGTGGTATGGTGCAATACAGGCAGTCCCCGGGTTACGTACAAGACAGGGACTGTAGGTTTGTTCTTAAGATGAATCTGTATGTAAGTCGGAACTGGCGTCCAGATTCAGCCGCTGCAGAAAATGATCAGTTTCAACAGTGGCTGGATTTGGGGGGCA